TTAACTTTTATAACTCTAAGACTGTAGGTCTTGTGAAAATAACACAACCATATCACTAATAGGCCTGTCAAACAAAGAAACCTTTTCGTTTGAAACGACCTTAACTTGGGCCTTGCGCACTCTATTGTCAGAGCTAGGATATAATTTAGACACAATACCCTTAGCCCGTTGGTGTCTAGGAGCGTCCTTTTGTTTAAGTTATTTCTTCTCTGATGGTTTGATTCAACTGAGTAGCTAGGAGAGTGGCACAGAGTTCTAATCTGGGCACTGTAGAGTCCATGGGTGCTACTTTAGCCTTTGACATCACAAATCCTGAAGAGCAGGTACTGATGCCTCTTTGTCTGGCATATGCGACTGCAGCGATGGCCTTGGTGGATGCATTGCAGAATATGTGCAGTTCCATGATCTCTGAAGGTGAGGAACTGTTTGCTATGTACTGTCTTGGCAGTTGTATGTTTTCTAAGCCTTGGGCTTGGCAAGTCCAATTTTTTCATTGTGACATGAAATCTTGGGGAAGCTCTTGGTCCCAGGTGAGCTTGTGCTGGATTGCCTGTTTGAAAAGCAATTTGGCAGAGATTACTACTGGAGACACTATACCCAGTGGATCATGAATGCCATTGATGGCAGACAACATAAGTCTTTTGGAGGTGACTCTGCCCAATTTGGGGGCTCTTAAAGTAAAACAGTCTGTAGCTACATTCCATAACAAACCTAGACTGGTTTGAGCGTTCAAATCTTGAAACAACTTTGATGCATCCTTTTCCACCAAGTCTTCTGGTGGGAAAGCCTGAAGTATCGCTGGACTATTTGAGTTTATTTTGTAAAGATGGATGTTGGCCTTGCTCAACATTTCTTGAATTTCTTTGACTGTCTTTGAAGCTTGCTGCGCAGAATCAAAGGACGTAAGAAGATCATCGACGTAAAAGTTCTGGTTGACAATCACTGATGTTGATTGGCTAAACAAATGGCCAAATTTGTCTGCAGTCTTTTTTAAACAATAATTGGCAACTGCCGGAGACGGAGTGTTACCAAACACGTGAACCCTCATCTGGTATTCGGTCACGTCAGAGAGGGACTCAGTATCTCTAAACCATAAAAACTTCAAGAACTTTCGATGTTCTGGGCAAACTAAAAATGCATAAAACATTTTGTGTATGTCGGCTATTACTGCATACTTCCTTTCTCTGAACCTTAAAAGAACTCCAAGCAGGCTGTTAAGCAAGTCGGGGCCTTTAAGAAGAACATGGTTTAAAGCTTTGCCTTGACATTCAGCACTAGCATCAAAAACAATGCGGACTTTGTCGGGTTTCTGAGGATGTGTCACTTTGTGGTATGGCAGGAACCACTGCTCTTCTCCCTCTGCACATGCACTGGCTGGTTCAGCGTAGTTGCTGCTGAAGAGGTCTTCCACAAACTGGGTGATCTGGGTTTTCACCTTGGGATCCTTTAACATCCTTCTTTTTAAGGACAGAAGACGATGAAGGGCAACATCTCTGTTGTTGGGTAGAGACGGTCTTTCTGGCTTGAAAGGTAAAGGCGCGATCCAATTACCTTGAGGGTCTTGAGTGACTTGGTTGTTCATCATCTCAAGGAACTTCTGTTCATCTTTAGAGAAGGCTGTTTGCTCATCTCTCTCTGTGACTTCGAAGATGGAAGAGTAATCAGGCATTACTCCCTGGCAACAAACTGAAATGTGGCTGGCACATCCTTGCATTAGTGAAGGCCTTTTTGTGACAGGCTGGAACATCTTGTTCAGGCAGACCGGACCTAACACCGTCCATCCTAAAGGCAACTGCTGAGCTATGGGGGATCCCTTAGGACCTTCAATCTGGTTGCTAACACGGAACAGCATGGGACAATCTGCGCCGATAAGCATGACAATGTCTGTTTCCAAGTCTAAAGCTGGAATTAGATCTTGGATGCCTTTGAGATGAGGATGGGCTTGTACCACCTCCTTTGTGGCTATTTGTTCTTTGTTTCTGGGGATCAGGCTGCATTCTATAAGGTCAGGAAGTTCATAACTGGCCTTTTGTCCAAAAGGCGAAATTTTGAACTTTGTCGCAACTCTGCCATACATCTTATTCTTTCCTGAACAAGTGGATATGGTGTACTCCACTGTCTTGCTGTGAAGGTCGAACATGTCAAAGAACTCTGGGGTTGCAAGAGAAGCATCACTTTGGGCGTCCAAGGCGACGTAGACCTTTTTTCTGTTCCACGGCTGCTTGTCTGGATACACCTCTGCCAGGCAGATTGGGTGACAAATCCTGGGCTTGTTGCTATTTTGGCATAGCTTGGTGCAGGCAACAGCAGGAGCCTTGAGAGCTACCTGAGGTTCTGTAGGCTTTTGGTCATCTTTAGTTTCTTCTTTGATAGAAGATTTTGACTTTGCTTTGAATTGAGTAGAGTCGAAGTTGTGCATTGCAGAGCAATGCTTGAGGCTATTACAGTGTTGACATTTCACCTTCTCCTTGCAGTCTTTGGAGAAGTGAATAGTGGAGCCGCAACATCTATAGCACACTTTGGCCTTTTGGACTATTTGGAGCCGTTCTTTATAAGGCTTCTTCGCGAACTCTCTACATTCAGCTAGGCTGTGTGGCCGTTGATGAATGGGACAGGTGATGCTGTTGTTGTTGACTGGTTGAACTGAAGCTGGAGGAGTAGTGTCTGACATCTTGACACTCAAGTTTCTTTTAAGTTCTTTGCCCTGCACTTTGTCTTCTTTGGAGGTCTTTTCAGGCTTTAGGCCTTGGTACAAAGCAGGAAGACCTGTTTGAGGGTCATTCCTCTCACGAGCTGCTTTGGTAACAAAATCCACTAAAAAGTTGAAGGGCGGGTATACATTTGCATTCGCCTCCTTGTATTTGAACACCTCTTTCCCCCAAGCTTCTCGAAGGGGAAAGGGGAGTTTGCAGAGAATGGGACTCTGCGACGTGTGCTGGTCCAGACATGCCAATCCTGGCAGCTCTGGATTTCCTTTGGCTGAAGCTAGCTCTAACAAAAGATCACTGAAGTCCCAAAGCTGTTTACAATCTTTCATCTTTAGCGATGGGAACCTGTTGAGTCGATCCATAAGAGATGCCTCTATCTCGGTGCTCGCACCATAGCGCTGGTCCAAGCGAGACCACGCTGTGGACAATGCTCTTTGGGGGTCTGCCACATGAGCAGCATAAAGTCTCTTTATTTGCTCGGCTGAGCTGGGTCCAAGCCACGCCATAAGAAGGGACAATTCTTCATCCGCTTCTAGCTTGAAATCTCGGATGGCCCTCTTGAAGGTAATTTTCCACAGAAGATAGTC